GAGGAGAGAGTTGGAGAAGGCGGATTCCTTAATTCTGCGAATGAACTGACACAAGTTCCAGGCTCACTCCTGAGCTAAGCACATGTAACAAACTCAAAGAATTATAAGAAAGGCTTTTAAAAACATAAGTAAAATATACTCCATTGCCCACATCTCAGGCTAACTCCTGAATGGTTCACGTGCTGGGCAGACCCAGACAGTACAGCAAAGGCTGAATCACCATCCACATAAGGTGAGACAGAATTTTCAATCTGAATCCAATCAGCTTGATTCCTGAAACAAATTAACTAACTAACCAACTAACTAACTATAACTCTCTCCAGAGGATTTTAACGGAGTCCAGAGTCTTAAAAGATAATACTCAAAATGTCCAGGGTATAATCCAAAATTACTCAACATAGAAAAGAATCAGGAAAATCTGAGCACTTCTCACAGAAAAAATCAACAGATGTTAACTCCAAGGTGATTCAGATACTGGAATTGTTAGAAAAATAATATTAAGCAGCTATTATAACCATTCTCCTTTTGAAATAAATGCAAAGATAAAAATTCTTAGCAAAGAAATAGAACCATAAAAAAGCAGCTGAATAGAAATTTTAGAACTGAAAAAATACTGTATCTGTAATTTAAAAATGCACTGGAGGGACTTCCCTGGTGGTCCAGTGGTAAAGAATCTGCCTTCCAATGCAGGGGATGCGGGTTTGATCCCTGGTCGGGGAATTAAGATCCCACATGCCGCGGGGCAACTAAGCCCATGTGCCACAACTACTGAGCTCGCGCGCCTCAGTAAGAGAGCCGGCGTGCCGCAAACTACAGAGCCCATGTGCTCTGGAGCCCACGCCACAACTAAAGAAGAGAAAACCCACACGCCACAACTAGAGAGAAGCCTGTGAGCCACAATGAAGAACCCATGTGTAGCAATGAAAGATCCCGTATGCCTCAGTGAAGATCTGGCATGCTGCAACTAAGACCCAACCGAGTCAAATAAATAAATAAGTAAACAAATATTTAAAAAAATTCATGAGATAGGCTCAAAGGCAAAATAAAGATGAAAGAGGAAAAATGTCAGTGAACTTGAAGACAGATTAATAAAAACAATCTGAAGAATAGAGTAAAAATGAATTAAAAAAGTAAACATAGAAACCTGTGATATGTTATCAAAAGATGTATAATCCATATCACAAAAGTACCAGAAGAAAATGAGAAAGAGATTGGTGCAGAAAAAGAAAAGTCTGAAAAATACCTAAAGATTTCCCAAATTTGGTTAAAGACATAAGTTTACAGATTCAAGAAGCCCTTTTAACCCAAAAGGATAAACTCAAAGAAAACCATACCCAGATACATAATAATCAAATTGTTGAAATCAAAAATAAAGAAAAAATATCTTCAAAGCATCCAGAGAAAAAAATCATACATATAAGGGAATATCAATTCAAAAGACTGTGGATTTCTCCACAGGAACCATGGAGCCAGAAGAGAATAGAATAACATTTTTTTAAATGCTGAAAGGAAAGAATTGTCAATCCATAATTCTATATCTAGTGAAAATATCCTTCAGGAATAAAGGTAAGATAAAGACATTTCCAGATGAAGGAAAGCATTAAAAGGTTCTGCCAGCAGACTTGCTCTAAGAACTAGAATTCTGAACAAATAACAACACAACAGTGATCAACACTTAAACTTACTATGAATCAACTGTTCTGGGCAGTTAAACAGACTAGTTTACTTAATGCAAGAAGGCTGGTACTACTAACATCCTCATTATAGAGATGAGAAAAAAACGATGTTATGTAGCTAGTAACAGAGCAAGAAGAGAACCCAAGCAGTCTGAGTTCAGAGATGACACTCTTAACCTTTACTTGATGCAATCTTCCAACTTACTTGTACAAAAAAAACTGGAAAACTGGAAGATATTAAGTTAACCAAGCAGATGAAAACCATTTAAACATTTAGTAATTTAAAAAATTATTTTTATTTAATGCTGCTCTCTAGAGATAAAAATAGGAAGGCAAGGCACCAACTTGATGTATTACTTAACCTTGAAAAAAAAATTCTATTACAGCTAGGATGAAACACTGAGTTATCAATAGGAACCATAACAAGAAACATTTTTTTGAGTACCTACTATGTGTCAGAAATGGTTTTGGGGCTGAGGATATAAAATGAATAAGATAAAGCTGCTGTTTTTAATACAAATTTGGATTTTATACAAATTAGGTAAAACAGACAAAAATGTAAATAATTACAATATAGCACGTGTTATAATATAAGCATGTACAAAGCCCCAAGTACATACAAGGTAAAAATGCTAAACAAAGGAAGCATCAATCTAATCATGGCTGTTTAACATTTTTTTTTAAACAATTTGAAAAGCACCAAAAAATAAACATTAAGGGAAATAGTCCACAATTCCCTTTTCCATAGCTCATGCCAACTACTATCTCTGTTTCAAATTTGTAAATAAACTCTCAGTTCAATAGGTAATGAACATAAAGAAAAGCCAGAAGAATCTGGTTGTGTATACCATGTGTATATAGAATCTGCTTGTGTATTCTATGCTGTGTACGCTTTAGTTTTCAAAGCCTTCAGCCTAAAGATGATGGACTTATTCCAAAATACTTAAAATCAGCTCTTGCTAACTTATTTCCCATTCACTCAGCAGTCCACTGCTCAGTAATTATGTGGATTCAGAAGGTAGAGGAGAAATTAATCCAGAAAAATCTTTCAGTAAGGCGAAAGTGTTATTTCTATATTAGATCAATTTAAAGAGTTACCTTAGCAGTTGTAAGGAACAAGTTCTCCAGATAAACTGGGGATCCTGAACGTAAGGACCATTTCTTACTTTTCTTTCCATACTTACATCCCTAATGGTTAATGCAAGGCCTGGCAAATAGAGTATTATTATGTCTGTTGAGTTAGATTTTTATTATAAAATAATTAACAAGAGGTAACGTTTAATTCTTTCTTGACTATATTCCTTGAATGCCAAGAAAGAGTTCTTTTATGTTCAACGACTACTACTTAATTCCATAGAGAAAAGAGACCAAATGTGACCTTTGATCTCCTACAGTCAGGTAATATAAGTAAGGGTTAAAAAAAGAATAGCATAGGGCTTCCCTGGTGCCGCAGTGGTTGAGAGTCTGCCTGCCGATACAGGGGACACGGGTTCGTGCCCCGGTCTGGGAAGATACCACATGCTGCGGAGTGGCTGGGCCTGTGAGCCATGGCCACTGAGCCTGCGCGTCCGGAGCCTGTGCTCCGCAACGGGAGAGGCCACAACAGTGAGAGGCCCGCGTACCGCGCAAAAAAAAAAAAAAAAAAAAAAAAATAGAGCAGCATAAAAGAATCAATGTGAGTTCATTAAAGACCAGCATGGACTTTTAAATTAAAAATCTCTATCAAGCTACTTTAGTTCTTTTTTGGCTCTTATTAAAATGAAATGTTATAATATAGTATTTGTAACAGGAAAGAAAATACAGTTAACTAATGACCCATTCACATTTCCCTGTAGCTGTGCTTCAAGTGGCTGACATTTATGGCATACAAACTTAGTCTAAGTAACAGAAAGAGCATTGTAACTCATATTCTATGCATTCAATAGATATATTTACTTTTATATTCATATTGCACACAGGATCAATAAATGGCTATAAATAATGACTGTGAAACCCTGCAATTATAAAGTTGCTGTGTATTTTCTAGATTGCTCTGAAATCAACTGTATTAATCAATGGTCATTAAATCAACAGATTCTCACTAAGTTGATATTTCTGTCTTTAACGTAAGTGATGTATGTTGTTCTCATTAAAGGGGATTTTAATCTAAGAATTGCTAAAATAATAACAAATAAATAACTAAACCATCAAATTGAGGATGGATGTCACCATCTAGGTCAACAAAGGCATAGTTTTAAATACACTAATTTAATATACTAGTAATATATTATTGATTGAGCTTCTTTTCATGACCACACATCAACATGCCTATTCACAAACTGACTTGTAAAAACTTATTAAAAAAGACTCTACTTCTTAGTTTTACTAAATTAGAATTTAATGACAACTAAGGGAAATTAATTGATGATTATAATCACACAAAAAAGGAATATTTTACATCTTAATAAACTGGACTCTTCTTGGGGTTATAATTGATAACTTTTAGCAGTAATACAATATTTTCTAAAACTTTCAACACAATATGCAAAAACAAACAAACAAAGAAGAACTTGAAAGAAACTGTGGCCAATACTTAACTAGACAGGATACTGAGACTCATAACTCTGGGAAATAAGGGGGGCAAAATTAAGTGGTATGACTGGAGTTTCTTAGGTTTATCAGTCTATTGTAGTGATTAGTGGTATGGAATTAATTTTCTTTGCAACATGTTGGTGACTTTCTTACCTAGAGAGCATGCCCAGAGGTGTAACATTAAGTGATCCCATCAGCATTGCCAGGGCCATCCCTGGTGCTTCCCGTTCTATTACTTCTTTTGTGGCCTGTAATTAAAGATTAAATAGCAGACTGAGTGAAATTAACCAAAAATAAGGAAGGCAGAGTAGTAAAATTAACTTAATTATAAATCATGCTATCTATAAACCATACTTAGTAGTTCTCCAAATATTTTTTTTAAGGCATCAAGACTCAATTCTTTGGGACCACTGAATAAAAGCTGAGGACCAGAACATCAAGGGAGCTTTTACATTAGCAGACCTTTCTTATCCCTTACAATTCAGAAGTATTTAATAGAAATTTCATCTTGCCTAATAACCTGTATTTTAAAATTAAGCCTCAGATTGCTATAAGAGCTCAACAGATTTTCACAGAATAAAAAATCTGGGTAGATTTCTTTATCTATTACTCTTGAAATAATTAGTCCGTAAAAACCCAAGATCACCTTGTATCTCTCCTAGCTCTATGATTTTATGATATAATAAATGGAACTCAAGAAATCATCGAGTCAACTTTCCCCATAAATTGGGTAGAAGAAAAACTCTAGATTTACCATTTCCATATCTTCGATATAAATGAACTGTTTTTAAAAAAGAATTAATGAAGTGATAGCCTTTAACTATATAACAGAAGTTTTAAGATAGGGCATTCTTAAGACAAGTGTGGTTAAACCTCGAATAAGGTACTGAAGGAGGCAAGAAAATTTCATTTTCTAAAGGTCAATGAAAATAGGCATATATTTATCATAATGTGATGGTGAAGATATGTTTTAGGCTACAGTTGGGAGTGAAACTCATGATTTAATCCATTTCTAATCCTCTTTCTACACATGTCGCAGGTTACAATAACTGGGAGCAACACAGGAAGAAAGCTTGCAAAATAAAGTATTACAGTAAATAAGAAGCAAGGCAAACAAAATAAAAAGTTATGGAAAAATATAGTGAAAGATTGATAGTTCAATATTTCATTAGAAGTCAAGTGATCATCCTAAGTAAAATCACTGTTCTAGGCAAAATTTAGGTTGGTAAATATCTCATCTAGCCTAATAACCTAAACTATAAAATGAAGTCTCAGATTGTCATAATAGCTCAATAGATTTTCATAGAGTAAGAAATCTGGGCAGAGCAGTTAAAATGCACCAAGTATGTGTTACATGCCAATTGATATTATAAATAAACTTTTAAGATGCATATAAATTAGTTAATCCCTTATAATTATATAGAATAAAGGATTACTGGAATTGATGTAATCTACTGGTTCACTGAATCCCAGCATAATGCAATATTTAACAATGTCAGAAATTTTAAAGGAAAATTAACACTACCATAATGCTTTTCAATAAAACCTGCTTTAAAAATAAGGGGCCAGCAGGAAGGAGAAAAGGACATACTTAAATTTCTAAGTTTGGGAGTTAACTACTTTCATTAAAATATCAATATATAGCTGAAAATTGTTGAGCTAGTGTTATATATAATCTATCCCATGTTTTCCAAATTTAATAAATCTGATATGATTTTGAGGTCTCCTGAGAAGAAACACTATTTCCATGTTAAAATTGTTTCACTGAAGTTTACAACTTCTTCTTAGGGACCTTAAAATCTTAGAGCCCTAAAAATCAACAAAGGGTTGTTACTGAGAACAATCTTAAAACAGCTCTTTGTATAGGGTTAATATTTATTTCATTATCTGTTTGAAAAAGTCACCTAAGCAATGCGTGACATTTAATGAATTTGAGGGTCCATATAAAGATGATATACTCCAAAGTATAGTAGCACACGTTATTTAAGGACAAAGGAAGAAAATATCAACAGAGAAGTGACAGAGGAAGTCTTTCACTTACATACTTCAAAGCACAGCATTTATCCATCCATACAACAAATACTTATTAAGCACCTACTATGTACTAGGTGGTATTCTATGCAATGATGTTGCAGTAGTAAAACTTGTAAGAGTGTGTAAACTCACTGTTATCTAGTACATGAAAAACTCAATTGACAAATTACATATGAGAATTACCTAAAAGAAATGTAATTCATTCATTTTTCGAGATCCTCTAAAATATACCATCGGATTTAGCCAGACCACAGTGGTCTACCTGAAAAGGCTCATCCACTTTTAAAAGAATTGTTTTACTGGACTTTGCTTTTATGGTATGCAGGTGGATACAATTAAATGGTTCAGTGAAACTCATATTTATTTTTAGCGAGTATTTGAGACCATTGCTCACCACACTGTACTGAGGTCCTCTTTAGGAGGACCTGTAGGAGAAATTTCCTCTCATGTATTACAACTAGGAATGGGGTACACTTCTGTGATACCAGTTTGTCTTTAAAATTATGATGACTGTGAATCAAGTTACCGTTGAGAAGAGAGACACATTTATGAATATTTTTTTAGTAGGCTTACTGAATACAACCCAATTTCATCTTATTTTTCCTTGCCCTATTTTTCCATATTTATCTTATTAAAAGTTCTGTTGTATTTTATGTATTTGGCTAAACCATCTTAAATACTTTTTAGGGTAGTAGTAAATATATGGATAATAGATGGATGAATGAATGTATGTATTCTTACACAGGGGTCTTCATCTTTTTCTAAACATAATTTAGGGAGGACAGTTAATTCTTTCTGAAGACTTTCTAGACAATGTTGGCCTATAGACATAAATCTTGTACAGCATAGAACATAAGAGGAAAATATATATTGTGGTGATGCCACAACAAGGCCTTGGTGTTGACAGGGGTGAGTGAGGAGGGAGACCCTCTCCAGAACTAGACACAAAGCAACGCTTTTGCTACATATTCCTAAATAATGCACAAATATAGTCTTTCTTACATCTATATCAAATATATCTTTTCCATAAAACATCAGAACCATTCTATTTACTTTTTATTTTTTCTTCTGTTTGGTGTAGCAAAAAGATCATCATCTGTGAAGTCAGACAATACCACCATACAATTAAGGTCTGGAGAGTAAGGACTGGATCTGTTGAAGCACCTACCATAGCATCCAACATACAGAACGTGCACTCAATAAATATTTGTTGAATAAAGGAGTGAATAAATGAACCAATATAGGCTTGAAACCCGGTTTTGTCACTTAGTTGCTCTGTGAATTAGAACAAAATATTTAATCTCTCTGAGCTTCAGTGTATTTATGAATAAAATGGAGCTAATAATAAAGCATACCTACATTTTATGAGAATTAAATGATGTAAGTAAATCACCTAGCATAGAGTAGGTATTCAATACATGTCAATTTTCTCTATGCCTCTGCTTTCCAATTGTTACATCCTTGCAGTTTTGATTATACCAGTTAAAGAAGAGAAATAATAAAAAAAATCCAGAAACCAAACCTAGAAACAGTGGTTGAGAACCAAAGATGAGGGGAAAGAGAACAGAGAGCAAGAACCTAAATGTAAGAACATTGACAAGTTGGGGGCAGGAAGAATACTGAAATAATGGTATCTAAAGGGAAGAAACAGCCAAACGAGATGGAAATTGGAAGATGGACAGGAGGGCAAGAGCTGGGTGAAAACATCTGTAAACTGTAAATTGAGAGGCTCAACTAGAAGGGAAAGAAATGAGAAAAAACTATATGTCGAACTTACTAGAAAATCCAAACAGAAGAGTGGTTTTAACAAATGTAGCTTTATTCCTTCAGTCATATACATTAGGATGACAAGCACAGATAAATGAAGGTTATCAGTACTTGTTAACAAGTAGGTAACAAGCAATCATTATCAATGGACTATTCATAATCAATGGCAAAAAAAGATGCCATTAAAAGTTTGAAATCCTTTTTTCTTAATTAGTTTCATTCCGTTTCCCACATTTTTTAAATAAATTATTAATTTGATTACCAAATTCTGTTTTTCCTTGAGCAAAATTTATATTCTTACTTCAGATATAACCGTTCGTGGACTAGTAGATTCCAAAATAATGAGGTTTAATTGGATTTAGCTATACTCTTTAAATAAGACATTTTATTTTTAACTTCTAAATACTTTCTAAACTTTGAAGGTTGCAATCTCCTACGCAAAATCACTTATTGTGATTTTTTCTTTTACCCTTGACACTTTGAAGATAACATGAAAGTCAGAAAGATGCTTCAAAGACTACTCAAGTTGCAAAAAAGGGTGTCATAAACAATGATTCTATAGTCCAGGGAACTTGTCAATGAAGTTCAAGTCCATTTTTAACCTTCATAGGAAAAATTACCTTAAAAAACATTATTGCTAAAAGTCAGTGATATTTAAGTATGCACAGGACACACAACAGTTAAATGTAAATGTGCAGAAATTTCTTGTATGCATGGTGGTGGTGAAAAATCACTTAGTATAGTGCTTTTACTTATGTTTATAGACACAGTTTTATTAACAGGTATAATATATGCATTAATATTTACATGCTTGTTACTTGACCATGTAGATTTAATACAATTTCCTCCTAACTACTACTACAGTGCCCTCTGCTGATTAAATAATCTTAAATAACAAAGACTATCTTTGAAACAGTATCTAATGGGCACTAATAACCTTGTTAAGCTATCAAGGTGGGATATGATTACAGCAGTGGTTCTCAAACTTTAGTGTGCATCAGGATCTTCTAGAAACCTTGTTAAATGCTGATTGCTGGACATACCCAGAGATTTTGATCCAGAATGTCTGGCTAGGGTCTCAAATTTTGCATATTTAACAAGTTTCCAGGTTATGCTTGTGATGCTGGTCAGAGGACTACACTTTGAAAAACAGACTGCAGATAGAAGGAATGAGGTAGATTCATGATAATGTACACAACTTGTTCTAATATTCATAATCACCTTATATTCAACTTTGTAAAACAGACTGAAATAAATGTGAGGATTCTTCATCGGAGCAAAATATAGACCGAGTGAGGAGATAAATTAGGTAAAAATAGGCAGTTTAATGCCAGCCAATCAAACTTTCCTGACTCTATCCACTAACGTCAGCCAAATGCATTTTCTTGACTCAAACACATAAATTTTATTTTACACTTTAATAAAAGGTTATAATAAACAAACAATT